ATGCTGAAAATGTGCTGGAGACATTTTCACCCTGTGAGTTAAAAGTTCATTTCCTTTATAAAGAGCAGGAAATAACCTTAGGAGATCTGAACATGAAAATGATGTTGTTAAAGCTGATCACTAAATAAACATTTGACTGTCCTGTGTATTTATTCAATTCTATACATACTGACAAACAAAAAGTTTGCGCAGGTATTTGACAGATTTTATATTAAAACCTCCACCCCACCATCCCACCATGACCAATACCTCTGCAATGTCACCCAAAGCTAAAAAAGATGCTCAAATATATGGGTTCATTATTCTCCATCATCCACATGCCAGCTGACTGAGCGAAGCAATCAGAGGACAATTTAGTTGAGGAAGCTTCCCTCGCAAAAAAGTATCCAGCTATTTTTAAATTAATCAACAAATATTTTGAATTATGAAATGCACATAGCTAACTTAGAGGTACTGGAGATGAAAAATTAGATAACTGAGCAGAGCCGATCGTTCCATGTCTTTACAGATTCGTTAGGCGACTACAACTTCATGCGAAAGTCACATATCCAAGTAAAGTTCACCGACAGATAAGAGTTGCAAAGTCAAACGAAGACATTATAGAGGGTCTGACTGATGATTTACAAGTTAATCTGTCATAAAAACACAGCCGAAGCACAGTGGGATTTTTAAAAAATGACATGTTTAAGAAGAAAAAGTTGTTGTATGATACTGGATTCCATTTAGAAACAGAGTTTCAAACAGTTTCTGCCTGAAAATCAATCAAATCACTACTCATCCCTTTCTTCATAATCAGAGACTTTTCTCTGTTTTCTATTTGAATGTTAATATCTCTTCAATGGTTTCGGAGCTCTGTGATAACATTGTGTAACAGAAGACTCAAGGCAAGATAAAGATTCCTTGGAGGAAAAAAAAATCCCTCTGCCGGGGTCGACATTCAGTGAACACCTGTCCTAACAAACCGACTAAAGCTCCTCTTTATTGCACAATGTCCCTCTTTTCACGCGCCACTCCATGCGGAGTTCAAGACTATCAAGCCAAACTAGAAATACAGGACAAATACAAGACAAACCACCCATTCTTCTTCAATCTTTCCTTTAAATTGAACTAACAGCCTTGCATTTGGTCATATAAATCAGAGGTGTAATTGTTAGTTGTTCCGTTTTTACATAACCAGCAGCTTTTTTGACGGTACAAAATTCTGACAATGTCTTTAACAAGGAAAAAAAGCACGTGCACTGACTGTGCCGCGTGCCAGAGGAGAGCGTGATCTTTAGAAAGAGGCATCTTCACCTGTGCAGGTCAAGCTCCAGGTAGGGGAAGATGAGCTTCTCCTTAATGAGCTCCCAGATCACCCGGGTCATCTCATCTCCCTGCATCTCCACCACGGAGCCGGCCTTGATCTTCTGGGACATCCTGGAGCTTTGAATGCAGACACCGACTGTGAGGAAGATAAGGAAGAGGAAAAACGACAAGAAAGCAGAGATATCAGCTCCAATGAAAAAGTCGAGCAGAGACTAAAGTGAGGGCTCTTTTCGGTAACAAGGTTTGCTCTCCATGAATGAAGCCATTCACAACTCAGGGAAAGCAATGAGTCGGCATTTAAAATGATCTTCCAGGTTAACCCCATAATAATCCTCTTAAATGGAAAGTCTATTAAAGTGAACCATGATGCACCCATGTACCATAAGCCTATAACTTATAGTAAATGAGTTCAAACATAGTCCAAGCCTGGGTAAATGCATAGACGGATAAGATAGATAAATAAATAATATATCTAATTTAAAAAATCTTTTGGGTTTTATCGTAGTTTATGGCATTTGACGTTCGCAGTAAAACACACCCTAGTGTTTAACTGTAGTTATAACACGTGACAACTAAATGACATATGCCCCCGTTTTAAACATTACACAATGTTCCCAAAGCCTCCGGGCAGTTGGATTGAGACGGGATCGGAGGCTGATCGGACAGAGATCCAAAAGCCAAACGGGAAAAAAAGCCGAACGACACAAACGGTACGATAAGTTGACGAACGTCAGGCACCTCCAGCTGTAAAAATACCCCCCGCGAAGGAAAAGCATGAAACCAGGAAGCGGACTTTCAGGGCTCATCGGGGCCTGAAAGCCCACTTTGAGCTCGCTACATACGACCCCCCCAAATGTGGCACTAGGCTGAATTCTGCTGTCAAACACAAATGCAACTAAACAATAACGTTTTCCTCACGTTATTGTTTTTTTATTTATGTTTACATATCTGCAGGTTTCTAACCCAAACGACGCACAGGCTCTAACAGAAAACATAAAAAAAAGATGTGAATCGAAATTAGGGTTGGGTGCATTTTGACTGTTCTAAACGTATTTATCTCATCCTGAACAACAGAATTAAAAAAAAAAAATACCCTACCTTTTAAATGAACGATCGAATACACAATTAAATACGAGTTGAGGAGGCGGAGTGATGTCCTGTTGGAAATGACAGCAGATCAGATCAGACTGCTACGGGAGCCGGCTTCCACCTCCCGATTTCACTGACAAGATTTTAGACCAATCAAAAAAGAGGGGAGAAACTCTCTGCCAATCAGAAACAACTACGCCATAATGGGGATGAATATGATTCTCTGATTGGAGGGAAGGACCATTTGCTGTTTGGCCACGCCCACTAAGCAGCTGTAGCAATAGACATATATACGTAGACGCCAGGATGTGGTTATTATGGACACAGATTACATGTTAAATTTCAATATTTCAGTATTTATATAACAGTAATAGAGTTACAGGATTTAGTAGCTGAAAACACTCAGTATTAAAAATACAGACGCTGGTTTGGTGCTTCCTTATATCCTAAACATCAGGAGTAAAAGTGTATAATCATCACTTTAAAAGTTACGTAGGTTTTTTTGTGCCTAATTATTTCCCAGAAATATTAGTGTGAGTTTGAATGGGTGAATAAGGTGCATTAACTTAAAGCACTTTGTAGAAAGGCGCTTTATGGAGTTCAGTCCGTTTTATTTTATAAGTTTACGGGCAGTTCTGCCATATCCAAGATGGCGGACTCGTTGACGTATCGCTGCAAC